ATATGACGACCCAAATATAAAGACATCAGGCAAGAAGTTAACTCGGCTGTTTAGTGGCACAATTATTCCGCTTCAGTCAAAAATGAAGGGCAAGTTAGCGTAAAAACCGTCTTTCAGGAAATCTGATGAAATACTATTGCTATTACTTGTGTCGACTGATTTACCAGTGAAAATATATTGTTATGTGATTCACATAATCAGTCAACTTCCATTGGTAAATGCATCAAACTCTCAGCAATTGGCGTAAACTAAGCATTAAGTTTAATGTTTATAGTATCAGCAGATCGACTGCCTTCACTAACAAGTATAGCTGGGTTATTATGTTGCATTGAGGATCCTGTTTGACAGATCTCGACGGTAGTTCGTTTCTAGAACTAAGAGGCAGAATTATAACCAAAGTTCAAAGTGACAAAATATATTTTTAGATAGAATTATTCAACAGAAGACTAGTCAACCCTCACTAAATACTTATATTCACTGCTTGCTCATAAACTGTCCTGTATGTATGTCGTAGTAATCTTTCACTTTACATTACCTCCACAGATATTCTCCCGAATGATTGCACAGTAAATGGCAAGTAAACTGGTGATGTCAAACTTTGTCTAACTGCGGATTACACAAGCACGTCACTAAAGCATTGTCTAGTGAAACAAATACACGCGGTGTTTAAAGGTTTTTGGCGGGAATCCGGGAGATTCGCATAGAATCATGTCAAGCCACCTCGTTTGGGATCTAATTAAGCATAACCACTGTTTCCTGATGAAACGTGGCCGCGAACGTTTTAGTCGTGACCCACTTAACTTAAAGGGAAAAAACTGCTTCAGGTATTGTGGTCTTGTTCACAAGAAGGCTATCGGGATCAAGGAGGAGAAATACGGGAAGGGTGTCGTAGTCATCACAAAGAATGTTGCAAAAGACCATAAACCAGCCAAAGCAGTCACACGAACAAAGTTTGTGCACGGACGTAGGCCTACTTTGAAAAAAATCAGGAACTTGACATGCAAGCAAAAATACAGAAGAGAACTAAAGATGGTAAGCGTATATATACTCTAAGTTCTGTTTCTTTCAGCTGGCGCTGCGTCGAGCTAGTGCACTAATGCATAACATGAAGCCTGCCGCACAGTCAGCCCCGAAAACCAAGAAGACATAGCCTTATTGTCTTGGTAAAATAAAATTTGTAAACACTTCATTGTATTATGTCTAAGCTGGGAACTGGTGATTACTTGGTCAATACCTCTAAGTTCTGTCTTTTGGTTGCCCAAAAGGGCAATACTCATGTGATTGGTAGCAACATGATTCTAAGTATGGTAGCTTGAATTCTTTCTTGTGGCATATCACGTTTGTGGTCTACTAGTGAATTCTAGAAAGTTTGTACATAAAATTGAACGCGTTCATATGAACTAATAATTTATTGCTCTTGAGGTTTGGCTCTCTGTATTGTCACAAACCACTGTTAAGTCCATTCATACATTGTTATTTTGGGTCAAAATCGTCCTGCGATAACTATAGGGGGATTAGCTTGACTGATATGGTGTCTAGAATACTGGCCTCAATAATTATTGGACGCCTAACAAAGACTCGTGAATTGCAAACACGAGAAAATCAGGCTGGCTTTAGAACTGATCAAAGCTGCATCGACCAAATATTCGCCATTCGTCAAGTTCTAAAACACTGGCATACTTATCAGCGTCTGACAATGGTGGTCTTTCTTGACTTGAAAGCAGCATTTGACTCCGTAGACCGCGAGTTTCTGTGGTAGTGTCTGTCATTGAAAGGCGTACCCCAGAAGTACTTTAACATAATGAAGGCCCTTTATTCGAACACTAGTCGAGTGAGACTTTATGGCTAACTGTCATCTGTTTTTGCAACCTTAAGTGGTGTCCGTCATTACTGCCCACTTTTTCCATTTTTATTTAACTTCATCGTAAACATACTGGTGGGACACGCTCTCGTCGACTGCATTTTCGGGCACCGATCTCCTACCAGGACGCAGGTGGCATAGTCCTGTCCGGTTAAGATGCTGAAAAAATGCAGTCTTTTGGTAGTACTGAGCAACGGTGCCAGAATGTTTAGAATGCGTTTCTTCACCTGCAAGTGCAGTTTGTTGCTTCAGGACTGGCCTGCGTGAACACCTGAACTAAGGATCGTGAGTGAAGTAGTCGAACGCGTTGACAACTTCACTTATCTTGGGAGTCTGACCAGCCCAAATATGTTGGTGTCTGACGAAATCTCTGCACGGATTCGGAAACCTCGCTTGGCTTTTGCCAATTTACGTCACCTATGGCGAAGGAGATATCTTTCTATCAATTAAGAGACAAGTATACTGCTCGGCAGTTCGTTCTGTTCTACTTTACGGCTGAGAAATGTGGTCATTAGAAGTAGGAGATACTCGTAGGCTATTAGCATTTGATCGCAAGTGTCTTAGAAATATTGCTCGCACCTTCCGGGACCACCGGGTAAGTAATAGTGAGGTTAGGCGCAGGGTATTAGGGAATGATGGTAAATCAGCTAACGAGGTTGTATATCTTCATCGACTGAGATGGTTGGGTCACGTGTTATGTACACCTGAACACTGATTAGCACGGCGCACAATGCTGACTAGTGTGGGGGACAGATGGAAGAAATTTGGGAGTGGTCAAAACAAAACGTGGCATCAGTGCTTGAAGTCACTAACTTTTAATCTGAGCCATGTTGGTAGATGCAGACAACTTAGTTGGAGTTCGCGTGACAATCGTAACCAATGGTTGGAGACTGGGTGACATGGCTCAAAACCGATCACAATGACGTCGGTGTATACACTCTACCGTCCTCTAAACTGTGAGATTAAAGATTGATTTATATCTCTCTACGAACTAATTCTTCCTGTACCATATCCTTATATGCGATCTCCCTTCTATATATTACTACCATGGAAGTAACTACTATGAATTTGGCGTTCATCTTTTTGTACTGATGAAGTGTGACAACTCGGACCGATGCATAAATGTACTTAGTCCAACGTCCCAGCTGACTGACTGTATTGTTATTTATTTATTTTTAACTAAGCTCCGTATTTCATTCGCCTACCAAAATCACAGCTGCTTTTTATCATCTCTGGGTGCTGTAATAATCGTGTTCACATGTGGTATTGTAGCAAGGACACCGTACAAATATTTGCTCCCATTAAGAGTGAAACTAAATGCCGAAAATGAAACTAGCCCAACGACTAGAGTATTTTGGTATGTGTTGCCTTCGCCTCTTTCAAGTATGCGCCTGAGTTGACATCTCACTGATATCGTGAAGGACAAAACAATCTAGCAGGGTCCAGTAGTGACTTCAGACAAGTGCAATGCAGCTTAGAAACTCCACCCATATCTCCTTTTAGAGGCACTTAAAAGATTTCACAGGAAGCATATGCAATAACTTCACGGTTCCGTTACATTTAGTTTCGCCACATCGTTTACATACAACAAGATGTCTGGTTTTCAAGTTATGCATTCGTTATGTATATAATGCTGTATGAACCTGGAAATACCAGTATGTTATCGCTCAGATTTTAGGAGTGGCTTATCTAGTACAAGATGCGAATAGAGTTTAACTGCGATCTTGCTCATTTCCTTATTTGGAGTTTCTAACAAGCACCAAATCTACGGACACATGCCGGTGTTCTTTGGCAACATATTACCGGACGACGGAAGTTGTACCCGCCTAGTATCACTTAATTTAGCAGACAGCGGACCGACATAGCGGCGCAACCGTTTTCGCGAAACCATAAGGAAGATATCAGTCATTTTGCCTACCAAGCGACAGGCTATAAGACTTATAACCCTCTTCCTATAAGACATAAGTTGTTGGAAAGCACTATCCTCTTTCTTATTTGTTTCTGAGGTTTCCTTTCAATTAGCGCCTGCATAATTATGCATGTAGGACAAACAACTGTGGTGGAATACTCCATATGAAGCCAAACGAGTATTCGTCACATCGAGGAGTTCGAGCCAGATTTCATCTCGAGACAACTCGCAACCTATAATCTCATCTATCATAACTTGAACAAAATACAATACAAGATAAATTACCTAAGCAAGCCAAATCCATATAACTCTGCACTGTCCATTCAGTTTAGTTAGAAACAAACATAAACAAATGTAATACGGAGTACTTTTAGCCCTGCCCAGGATCAACATTTCGGAGGTGTAGTGCTCTCTGAATTCGATGGTCTGGTCGTGAGACATTCATCATCCCATCCACCTAGACAACGTCAGTAAATACTTCGAAACAATCATCTAGTGTAATAAACACAAAATACATAGACACATCGACTGTTAACAATGTGGCTGGCGTTAACATGCCCAGTTACACCATAGTCAACAATTTATTATATCCAAGTAGTTGGAGAAGTAGTTTTCATAGAATATGAAGTAGGGCTTTCTGGGAACTGACTTTTTTCGTTCTTGACATCTTTACTACTTTTACAAAAATAAAGGCGTAGCATGAATTGATGAAATGTATATTTAAAATATTTGAATGATTCTAGTTATTAGGAAAATCGATGTGCAAGTATGACATGAGAGTTAAAAGTTTCGACAACAAACCATCCAAGTGTTGCGTGTGTATGTTTATATAAATTAAAAATGACAGTTTATCAGAAATAATAAAACGAATACTAGCGTTGATAATAATAGAAACCGAACCATGAGTAAGTAGATCTCAAGAGTTCAACTTATCAATTAGGTTGAAAAGTTTGGTAAGATCTTTTGAGGCGCAATCTTCTTGTTCACGTCCAGTATTGGTCCTTATAAGCAATTTTGGAAGCCACTCATTCATAACTTTATGGAAACGTTCAGATGGATCAATATTTTGCAGAAGTCGACTAACCCAATATAAAAGACGTCCACTGGCAAATAACATCCAAAACGGATAAAAGCTTATGAAAGGATTTCTAAAATGTGAACAACTATCAAATTTATTACTACTTGACATATAAAACGGACAAAGCACCTCAATCATTGCAACTAAATGCTTTAAACCAGTGGCCATACTTTGCATTCATTAAGTTGGTGAACTTGCTCAATACAAAAGGAACGTTTATTTACATCTTGACAACAATTTGATTTGGCCACATCAGCACACTTATCGAGATGTGTGCGAATGGAGTTAGCGAAATCTCCATCAACATCACGATTTCTACCGAGAAATTCACGATTTGAATTCATTGCGATTGTACAACATGACAACGCAAGTGCAACTGGCGATGTCTTAATGTTTTTAGCTTCGTTTTGAGCATGAGATGAACATCTGAACCATAGAATTAATAAAATAGCCAAACCTTGTATTTCAAGAGGCTTAAAATCTTTCTCCAAATTCACATTGAACAATTTCGAGAAAAAAGATAAGAACGACAATTCAGGCGTTTTAGCACTAGGGGGTTTCAGAGGCTTCATCGACATTAAAGTCTTCGTAAAATCACCATCCACGTTTCTTCTATACTCAGTGACACACTCATTCTCCATTCCACATAACTTTCCACTGGTGCCCAAGTGGTTTTCAAGTCCATATATAAGTCCATTTATAGCACTTCTCATCTTCGACATACATTCATCAAGCGAACTAGGAATCTTTATGTCCTCCATTAGTAAACGAGAAAAAGCGCCATTTCGTACATACATGTGGTCAAATAGGGATGGGATTAAGTCCAGAAATCTAAATCGCCTAATCAATTCTTTCGGCCAACGGTGAAATATACTGTCTTCATCATCATCATCATCATCATCATTTCTCTCCAATATAGGTTTAGAAAATTTGGAAGCATCTTCACAGTAAGAACCCCGACAAGTTGTGGGATCCTGAATGCTCAAATTTCCCATCTTGCTTGACAACGAAACACTTGATGAGATATTGTGTTCAGTTGAAAAACCTAATTCACGAGCCAGGTTTTCTCCTGAACTACTTAGAACATAATCCGAAATCCCTAAACGAATTGTCTTTCCAATACCATCCCTTTCGTTTTCACTGTAAAGTGACAACACCAATGACAATGGTTCTTCTATGTCACGGAAACTTAACAGCCAGTTAAATATAGCATCGATACGTCTTTGATAGTAGGACTTCCTCTGTAGTTTAGAAGTATGGATTAGTGAATCGATGATAGTTGGAAGGCGAATATTTGATATCATGTCATTACCAACGAGAATGGCAAAAAGTGGTAACATAGGATACTTGAGTTTAGAAAACGGTCCTGAATTATTAAGAATTGAACACAACATGAAATAACATGAAGCACCACTCCGTTTACAAATAGAACAAGGGACGGATCTCTTAGAATAACGTGAAATAGTTGAAAATGGAATAAAATTATACACTTGATTATTATCGTTTGGTCGATAAATAAAAAAATCAGAATCTCCACTAGTAACAGGACATTGAAGATGAACAGCAAGTTCTGCTGTACTGATATCAGCTTCACGTTCACATGCTATGTATCGAATTGAAGATTCACGCAGAATTTCAACCAGAACATTTCTGTTAAGTCGTGGAGCTATATCAATGTTCAACTCTGTGCTGCAAGTTGACTTAGCAATCAGAAGAGCTGATGCGAGTTGTTTAAAGTACTCCTTGTTCCGCTTCATCAAAGTATCCAATTTCGTTCCCTAAACAAAGCGAAAAAAGTTCATTAGTTCATACATAAAATCAATCACTGTATGTGACAAACTTGAAAAACATACCACTCAAGATGTTTGGTGTTATGTGTCTCTTTATTCATCACATTCGATCGTGAATAATTGACCATCACTCTGAGAAATATACCAATAAACTGAAAGACAATAATGAAATCATATCTCAAGTGGTGGTAAAAAGTTTTTCAATACGTATAAAAACTCGAATAACACTAAATATTTGGCTGATTGTGTACACTCACTGCTCAGTCACATAATAGGACCAAACAACCGTCCAGTGCTTCAGTCGTGGTTTTCAATGGTGGTGGTGGTCTAGCTTAGATTGACTTCTGAATTCAACTGGGAAAATTCTTAAATTGAATACTTAATAAACAAATTATTGTCATATGAATGAAATAAACTTCCAGGTATACAAGTGACTGACTGACTGACAGCATCAACATCTTCATTTGTAGATGTCATAACTCGAGTCTCAATGTAAAACAGTGTTTAATGTCTTGTTGAATAAAAAGCCGTGATACACAAACAAAATAATCGTTAGTATTTTGCAACATTAACATTAGCAAAGTGGGAACATTCTATGTGCAGACCATAGCGCTTCAAACACACTTTCTTATGGTTTAATTCATTAGGCAACTGTAGTATTGACCAACTGTATATAGATTTACATCTACCTGCCAAAACACCTCTACATTGGCCGAATAGAAAGGAGGGCATATTTCAGATTTTCCGAACATGTTACGAAAATCCTCACAACAAGAGAAAGAAACACTCTAAACAGTGCAATCACCAAACATCTCCTTGATACAGGATATCAGATAGATACCTCGCAATCTTCAAGGTGATTAGTAAGTAAACAGCCAAATTCCAGTCTTCTCAAGTTTGCTCAACTCAAGCCAGTGTTATCATCAGGCGTCAAAAACATGACTTATGTATTCAAATTCAAAATGAGATGGTTATTAATCTTTCCATGCCTTGCCTTGGTCACAAATATTCCTTCGCTGCATCTTATAATAATAATAATTATTATTATTATTATTATCCTCATCATTGTTTAACTCTTTCTTGTATTTATTGCATCATTCACTTGTATTTCAACTATCTTCTAAATTAACAATCTTATTCTTATATCAACTCAGCTCTACTCACTTTATTCCAATCATCACCATTTACCCAATATGTAATCACTTGTATTCAGTCTATTCAATTTATTTACACCCTTGCTATACTATACTATACTAATCTGTCTTCAATATAACTTCCATCCAACCTAACTCTCTCATGTAAGTCGTTTAAACCTATCACGTAATTATGATTCCGAATTATCACAGGTTGTAATCAGCTGACGAGAATCAGACGAAATAAACTGAATTCATGTTATTCTGCTAGAATCTTTCAGTTCACCCCCTTTTCAAAATGATAAAGGGAACTATGTGCATCAAATCAATTATTAGGCATTTAACGTATACATAATTATAAACTACTCTAAGATGCACCGATTACTTCAATCAATTACGATATCATCTACAATAGTGATAAAATCTATACTACACAAATGCCTCAACATTTAAGTGAACTCGAAAATATGTAGACAGTTAGTTAGAAAAACAAAGTACTATGATAATGTAAGCATACCATACCTCTTTCGGATGACATCCACCGAAAACGAAAATTGGCTCCACACCACAGATACTAAACTCTTTTAACAATGACTGCACATAACTCTTAAATGCCAAATACTCTCCACCAAATTCACATCGCAAAGCAGCTTCACGATAACAGCGGTAGCAAAGTTCTCAGCATCAATAACTAAAGGCTGGTTATGCAATTCATACACGGATAAGTTTCCACCGCTGCTTTCTATATACGTCCACAACCCTCGGATACCCATCTCTTCTAAAAGATGAATAAAACAAGACGATATGAGTATGGGAATCTTTAAAAACAATAACAAAAACGTAAGGATAGAAGAAAACATTCACATATAGATATGATGTAGATAACCTAACACCTATAATACAACTCGTCAGTAAATAACTACGACTAGGTCGACAGCGATTCTATGAGGTGATAAACTAAACCCATTCATTTGCTAAGCTTTTATTTTGCCTAAACTAATTCATCTTCCTTAACAACTCCAACCACTATTATTCTATTCATAGGCTTACTTTTATTACTTTTACTACACTAGATATGAAACAATTTGTCACTAAAGTGACTTGCAGATTACTACTTACCAAATAAACCAAATACAATCAATAATCCTGAAGCAACTACAATGAAAGTGAATGAGTAGAGAGATCAACTTGACTCTAGAGACAACGAACAATGATCTTTCTACCTATCTATCTATCTCCCTACTACCAAACCTAACTACCTACCTATCTAGCGACAGTATAAACAATTAAGCATAGTTCAAATCGAAAAATATCGAGTCATCAGAATAACAATATATTTTAAAATATATACATATGCACATGTTATCAATCATCACGTCAATCTGCATCAACAACATCTGTGCAACAGCGTTGAGAGACGACGACAGAGTCTTCCACGGATAAAGTTAGACCGGTATCAGACATTAGGCATCCACCACTATGTGCCATCGTAACACCAATATCAATCAATGCAAAAAACGCCCATCGATTGCCAATCATTTTGCACATTACTCTTCTGACATCAAGTTCATCATTTCGTGTAGACGCTTTTGTGACCCGTTGATCTGACTCTATTTAGAGCGTACGAATGATTGTATGGATGTTTGTTATCGCCTATTCTCGTACGTAATCGACTTAAATCGCGTTATCCAATAACGGAATTAAATAAGTCGAATAACGAGAATTGACCTGAGAATACATACATTTCGTACATGAAGCGAATGAAACATAGCAAAGCAAAAATAACACGTATGGCTGGGAAGCCAACTCCATTTCAAGCCGGACATTACCCAATATTTATAGGCAGACAAAATAAACTACAGACATGTGATGAGTCATGGGACATGAAGTGTACACACATATACGCTCATATAAAAACAGTCAAGACTACTGATAAGCGAATAATTAACAAGGTCAAAATATGACTCAAGTAGAACAAGTAGAATGGAATGTCCGGAAACTAGAATAAGACATATTATGGGCTAAAACTAATGACTAACACTATAACGCACATTACTGCAACCAACACCACCGACTCTGAAAACCTCCTGAGAAATTCCCCCAAGTTACAATACTTGTTACATTATAGTATGATAAGATTGATTAATTAGTAATTAAAAGAATTCAAGATGGAAATTATTACATCTGTCACAGTTTTGTCTGAGGCTATCCTTAACTGACTTGCAATTGGTACTGAAAGCAGCAAATACGACGACTGATGGTTGATAAGGATTTACTTCACCCTCAATATAAATCAAAATCTTATATGCATGCATACACAATGTTTTCCATAGTTTATGTACAGTCAGTCAAGTTGACAATCATACTTGCAGTAGTATTTAAATAATATCGATTTATCATTATCATCAGTAAGAGGACCTGTAGAGATTGTAGTATTTTAACAGTTGAATTCAGAAGACAATCTAAGCTAGATCATCACCATAGAAAACCACCACTGAAGCACTAAACGGTCGTTTCGTCCTAGTATGGAACTCCTCCTCAGCAGCGCGCATCCTTCATCCCGAACTACGAAATGCAACCCAGCACCTTTGATCTAGCTCACATCACCTCGTCGTGAATTTAACTCTCCAAATAAATAATCAATATCATACTGTTCAATTTTCAAACAGTCTGAATTTCTCTCTTTTCACTCTATCACATCAAAAATTATTACCCTTATAAACGATTACAAACAGAAATCCGATCACGTAAACGTTTACGTTTAGCGTGACACACGTCTTCTGAGCCGAGTAACTTGTGGCGTCTTACCGGTCACAGTCTTTTCTTTCACATCTTGAATTCGGTTCAGGTCAGGTTACATTTACTGAGTTTTTGATAGAGCATGGGGGTCAGTTGAGTCGTTGCTCAGAAGGCTTCATTTGGCGCACTTGGGATCTTTAAAGATATTTATCAGTAAGTCAGCTATCGTTTCGATATTTTTCTTACAAGTGACTTGGACGAACAGGCGATAAACACTATCGACTGCCGTTTTGACTGCCTCGACGACCAGGCCAATTTTTCCTTGAAAACGTCCTGACAGATAATTCAGTGATCAGGATTTTTACAATACAATGAATTGAATGAGCTGAAACCAACTTTCATTTGTCTAAACATCACAAGATACCTCGTCTTTACTATTACAGTTTTCTTTCTCCATGTAACACAGTCAATAAAACACAACTAAAAAACTTGGAACAATAATAATAATAATAGTAATTCTACTCCACCATTCCATGTTACAATCATTTTATTCCTATGTACAGTTTAAATCCTTCAGTAGCCAACATTGTATTTGAGATCTACCATCAAATCACTAAGAAAATCGAACATACATTCTGAGTATTCTCATATGTAAACGAAATCAGTTTAGTTACATAATCATGCTTTTTAGTATTGAACTTCTCGACATCGGGTATTTGTTACAATCATTGTCTAGTTAAATACGGTTAACATATGGTGGTAGTCAGTCCAGAAGTCCATTACATGGAATCACATCAAACCACTAGATTGGACCTTGTAGTAAACAGAATTAGTTTAAAACAATTTCATACGATGCTTAATCGACAACGATACATGACAGAAGTTAAGACACAACAAAACAATTCCATTTGAGAATGATATACTTACCAATTCAATTGTATGACATCGGTGAATACATTTCTGGCACGCTACACTATACTACTACTTTTCAATATTCAGTAGTTTCGAGTATCCACAAACATATAACTCATGACTGATTGTTTTCTACACCGTTCAGTTCTTTTCTCGAACAGAAACGTCCAATTATACTCTGCTTTCAACACTTCATTTTCTTCCCAATTTTACGTGGCATTTAATCATCTTCTCATCCCTTAGTCTACCTTGTATTAAACATTCTTTGGAAGTCCAGTGATTTCCAACCAATGGATTAGTCTGCAAATATTATTTCCCTTACTCTTGTTGATGATTCTTCATAATCCCATTTCACAAAGGCCTATGCCAACCAAACCATGATGTATATCCACTACTCAGTTGTTGAAGGGACCAATTCCCATCCAACTACCACTTTTGTCATTAAATTCAATTCAAAACATCTCATGACTACAGGCTCGAATACTTCAGTGATTATACACACTTCTCTTCTAATAGTACCATATTTCCATACAAAGTCTTACCTCCTACTTTCACATCTCATACAACGAGGTCATCCTCACACGGATTCCACAACGAAAGAAGTAAAACTACCTTACCCATATACACATAAACAAAATATGATCTACTTATATTGCTGAATATAAGCGAAATCTTATCGTACAGAATTTTCATGATCAATTCCAAAACAATGGCGAATCGAGCGATATAATAAGCATTGACAAAATTATTTCTATATCTAAGCAGAGATAAATAGTGGCTAGCAGTGGACCTCAAGAGAGGCGTTTAGTTCTATTCAGGTTTACCTAGCTAGATGTATCTGCATCCAAGTTGACGTCCAATCTGGGACTCCAACCCGGTACCGTCCACTTCAAACTTTATCGCGTTTCCGCTCAGTAGGTAAGTGGACAACGTAGTAGTGTTTGGATTGAACACCACTTTCTTCCAGTCACGGAGTGCACATAAACATCAAGCAGATCAGTCCCAAATACAACCTGACCGACATCCTGTATTTCACTGCTAGCTACCACCACTACCACTACTCATTTCTGCTTAGAACAATACTTGTGACTTGCAATATTCAGGCAATCCTCACAGAATCCAAATATGCCAGTAACAGACCGATTGATCCATTCTAGTCCTAAACTACAGATATTTTACAAACATGGTAAATATGTAACTAACTATCGGATAACTAAGTGTTTATTCTAATGCTTCACCATCATTACACTTTAAAGTTAATTCTATACACAAATTACTTGGTAATAGTTAATAGTCAAATAAACTTACTCACGTTTACACCACAATGTGTCATAGCTCGTTCAGTAATTTTGAAAACCATTAGCAATAACTCTCCTCTCGAGACTGAAGTAGAAATCAGCTACAGTATAACAGTATATTCAACAGTTTCTAAATCTCTCGGTACATCCTATTCAAAAAACCTCCCTAATTGGAAAGCAATATTATCCCTCTCATGGATTACAAACTAGTTATCTATCACAAATCACACACCAAGCTCACACGATTTGTTTAGGGGCTGGCTTGTCATTTAATACCGAGCATCATCAATACGCAATTGACCGGATCTTTTACATTACAAATATTATATTGTTCGCTCTATTCCCAATACAATAACCGAGGTTGTAAACACTATTAGTTGTCTTACATATTTCAGCTAAACAACTAACCAACTCATGTATTCTACACAATTCAGCACAACTATTTCCACAAAATTCTCTAAGGAAGGAATTCACATACCTGTTTCCTAAATGCTAAATACATTGCAACACCTGTAACATACACCGGAATTTCTACGGACAACAAATAAACTTACTTATGTGAATTAAGAATTGTTGTTGGGTCTGACTAATTTGAGGTTGTTAACTTGAATCAGTTAATAAGCCAAATGAAATTGGGTGATAACTAACGATCAGAATAAATATAGTTAACACGGTGTGAGAGAGAGAGGAAATAATGGAATAAAAATTACGTAATTACGTAAATTAATATCCACCCCACTAATTCTATTATTATGTCTGACTTAATTCATGTTATTCTACATATTACGTAATTTCTGATTTGTAATTACAATATTCTCTCTCCATATCTCTATCTCTTACCACAGGTTGATGTCAATATATAGTGCACACGGTGTCGAGTCACCTAGACTGGTGGCCACATAGCAACATGGTCGATAGCATTCGATCTGCACTAAATAAGGACACGACACACATGACAATGATCACCACCTAGTGATCAATGAATTGTAACATGCTGACCATATTTATTCTGATCAGCATTTATCACACAATTTTATTTCGCCTGTAAACTGATTCAAATCACATATATGCAAACAAGTGTTATTCTGAGAAACTAACTCACATGATAGATAGACCTATTCTAGTCAACTCCAAATCTGTCTGCCTACTACTACTCAACTGTAGCACGTGTACACCGAGAATACAGAGGGTAGTATCTGAAGGAATCTCGAAGCATATGTAGGAAAATATCATATCCAACAACTACAGACTAACAAGTGGTCTCACACGACAAAAGTTATTCAATAAATATTAATAATGTCATTCAAATGATAAATAGAAAAGACACTGATAAACATCTAAGTTACATAGAAGCAGTGCTATTCATCATAACAACTTCAATTCATCTGAACAAATGCAACTTACAGTTCACTTTGTGATGGCTCAGCTACGAGATAATTCCTTAGGCTTTCTATATCACTCGTTCTGGTTAACCGTTATTTGGTAATTCCAAATACCAAAGCGAACGAGTACAGGAACCAGTGACCACACCAATACTAAATCGAATAAACTAATAAGATCCAAGCTTATATATTAATCGGGTGATTCAAGCAGTTAACATTTAGTCTGGAGAGAGAGAGAGAGCTATTTGTGCGTAGGCTGTAACATGTGATCGAGCATAGTTGCTCATCATATTTATGATAATAATAACAAGTTATACAAACTTTTACTAGTCTACACCACGGTTGTCAGTTAAATTAGTTGAAGGGCTTGACAGAATGAACCGTAAACCAACCCAGTGTATGATAGGTACTATGTTTGCATCCTCTTTGGCTTGCTTCAGAATCGCTATTGTGTTACAAGTATTTTAAGCAGACATGTTTCACAAACTACCGGATAATTGGTCTGCGTAGTTTAGGTGGTTAATACAATGTCGATCGAAACAAACTATATTGGATTCTAATCAGAGATTGAACATGAATTCTGGAATCCATGTACTTACAGCTGAGAACTCACATATATAGTGAAATGTGCGTCCTGGATTCCACTGGTTGCCACCATCCATTTCGAACGAATCTTCTGCAAAGTGAAACCGATATTATCGCCTCTATCCCAACACTGACAGAGTTCTTCACCGGTGTCGTTGACATGAGTCCAGAATGGCAATCTCGGTTTCATATATGCTTTTCGATTTTTTTTTCTGTTCATTTATCAAACGAATATGCAGCACACACCATTTGTCATCTTTTAGTGAATTCATCGTGCCACCTTTGCTCTCAATCTATAGTCTACGTTCCTTACTGATTGTAACAACAATAAGCGGTTTTTCAAAATCTGACTACAAGTTGTTCGATAGCTTCACACAACCATATCATGACTAATGTTCATGATTATACTTCTGTACTTTCAGTTAGTCTGTTAAATATAGATATAACTAGAATTCGACACTAACGAAAAGAGGCTGCCATTATTTCTAGGTGCGAATACCTCATGGATTACTTTTCTATTGATTAGTCACACATATTGGGGTCAATAAATGTGATTAAACAAGTCGGTAACATTAATAAATTGTTTAATTCAACCTCTTAGAAACAATGACTAACGTATTAAGCACTGATGGTAATGCGTTGGTATTGTTCGTAATGGTTTAGTGCTTGCGAATCCGAAATCGATATGCATTGCTCCACCTAATGAAGGCTTTCAGTAGACAGAAACAACTAGATTTAATCAGTCATATTATTGAGCCCATTCAAAAATAGGAAGTTGATCCTCCCAAATTGGATGCTGTTTCTTTCTTACATGAAGGTTTGCGATGTTATGGAGAGACAACCAGAATTTGCCTAATGAGAAGATCAATCGATAGCAATAAGAAATGACCTATAGGACAAGTGCATTTCATTTCCCAAGGACTAGAGTGGTATATATATGAACGAGCATTTGTGCATTTTATTCGGTAGCTCAATATACTTTCTCCATCACTTTTGTGTTCTCGCTGAAATGGTCAGTAGGAGGATTAGCGTATAGCACAATGTATATTAGTACCAGATTTCGGACACCACCCATAACAGCAGTTGGTTTGAACAAATTCACACAACTACACATGATATTCTTTCTAAATAATAAAATTGATTATGTTTCGTCATCATAGTTCAAGTAGATAGATATACGTGCTGCAACAAGAAAATAACATAATGAAGAGTCAGAGTCATAAATGAGTAGAAATAAGTGGACGAGAGTAGTGTATTATTATAGGAAAAGCAGTTCATTGTAAAAATACAACCAGAAATAATCCTTTGAGTTAAAGAAGTTCCTACCACTCTTATAATATATGTACACAACTACATCAGGATTGCTGTTAGTTTTTGTTATAAGACATGTCTGATTACGTCTCAAGTCACTGAGTTGTACTGTTTCTCAACCCCCAACTAAAGATTACAGATGAACTGACATGTGCAAATCCTATGCACCTTTCTTACATACCTAGACGCCGTATCACGGAGTAACCTTGTCTCCGCTTTTTCAAACAAGTTCCATTGTCAGTCCGCGGTGCACGATGTAGAATTCACTGAAGCCACTTTTATAAAACATGTCTAGGTCCTCGTAGCCTGTGTTTCAAGGTGGGAGATACCAATTAAATTTTCATCACTATACCTTAACAATAAAGCACTACACAAAAATCAAATTATTTACACTAAAACAACAACTATAGCAACATCCAGACAGACGGCGAAACAAGGCACCCAAATTGTGCAAAAACATGGCGGACCTCAGAATCCCACCTTTCAAATCACCAAAGATGGGAAATTCCAAATCCCAAGATGATTATCTTATCTTCAGTTCTTATATCTTACTAAACACTTAACTTTGATATGAATGACACTTGACAATTTCTATATTCTTAATTTCGTATCCATTTATATTGTGTAAATGCAAGAAACCAATGAAAGAATGATACATATCTACAAGTGTAACAGGCTTAAAATGTTTGATCATAGTGGATGATGTTAGTCAATAGATCAATTGATTACATGTAACACCGTTTTATTTTCATTCATTCTGTTTGTTTACTTCAAATCTACATGGATACCACAAAGTTATTCCGTTTTGAATAAAAATTCCATAATGGTGATTCACCAAAAAAAAACAACCAAAAAATAATTAAAAGTAACCTGGATACAAACAATAAAAAGTTCAAATTTTTCAAAGTTAATGATCTAGTTTGATGTATTGATCAAAAACAAAAAAAAATTTTGTATCAGAAGGGGTTTTTTGTGGAGATTTTAGTCATTTCAATAGTTGAAATTATGAGTCAATTGAAGCTAGACTACCATGAAAAACCTGGGAGCATAGGATGACCGTTTCGTCCTAGTGTGGGACTCCTCAGCAGTGCACATCCACGATCCTGCCTCGCGAGATTCCAACCCAGGACCTATCAGTATCGCATGAGAACGCTTAACCTTTAGACCACTGAGGCGGCCAGTATCCAATGGTGTTAATGTCTAACTTCAACTAATCTACGAAATTGAGCGACACATCTACCATTGTCTTAAGTGAGTTACTATCTCAAAACAGACCCGGTTGAACTCCACTGGTCACTGCTTCTCGCTAGAACTCCAGGAAATACCTCTTGAAGCCAGCCACTAGTGAGCATATGTTGATTAATATCAGAAGGGGTTTTTGTGGATATTATAGTAATTTCAACTGAAGTTAGACAAAAAGATTTGTCACTGTTCTAAAAATATTATTGTTACGTTCGCTACTTGATTAATTCAGAATATGCTACACAACTATGACATTCGAACGTATAGAACCTCATAGTCGCAAATCAGAAAACTGAAGTAGTGCTTGTTGGGTAAGAATCAAAATGTACATAAAATCATGGACATTCATACATATTGGTATTTGTTATATCAACATTATAATTCAGCCAATCCGCAGAGAGGTATGTTATGCTGCTGTCTAATAGTAGCATGCCACGCTGATATTCTAGAAAGCTCCATCATATTCTGATTGAATAGGAAGTCTTCGGCTCCTTTTGGGCCTCTGGAGTCTTCGTTGTAGTTCTCGGAAACGGTCCCAACAA